TTTGAAATTTTGTATTTTGATTTTTTTTTTTGAGCAATCGCGCTGCATAGCTGTTTTGGAGTCGAAATATCAAAGCGCGTAAGCGCCGCGTAGTCGTCTAACGCGTAAACATTTGTAGGGACCCACATAAATGTACACAAAATTTGTACTTATTATTATAATCTTTATAAAATATCTGATGATACAAATTACATATGTCTAATGCTCATGTTTGACCACCAAATGGCATATTAACTTCCCGAAGGAGAAGTTTATGTTTTCATCAAAAAACCCGATTCGCTAATTTATGTTTTCTCGAACGTTTCAAGCCATTCTGAATCGAATGAGACAAAAATTTGGAAAAAGTATGTGTGTGTGTGTGTGTGTGTGTGTGTGTGTATGTGAACAGATTTTTGCCGTAAATCGACGTTTTCTCGAAAACGGCTGGACCGATTTCAAAAATTTAAAAGCCATTCGATGTATCTGGACGAGAACTATTGTTTGTCAGTTTTGTGCGACGATCGGCCAAGCCGTTTTCTTCATAAATGGCAGAAAAGTGAAAAATTTTTCGTCTACGTTTTAGCCCGCAATTCTGAATCGATTTTGAAAATTCAAAAACCGTTCGAAAGATATTGGTTGGGAATCGTGCTGATTAGTTTTTGGTAGAGATGGGCCGGGCCGTTTTCTTGTAATAAAGTTTTTAAAAAAAAATTTCGACGATTTTTATGATTATTTTTTTGACGATAGATACCATAGTCTTCTAGATCATACTAAAATATTACGGCCCTACGACAACTGGTTCAGCTTTAAAAATTCGTCAAAGTTTGCAAAAATCAGTATGGTCTTTTGGCATTTGTCAAAATTAGACTTTTGATCGACGTTTTCTCAAACGCCTGAACCGATTTTAGAAATTTAAAAGCCATTTGATGTATTTCGGTGAGGACTATCGTTTGTCAGTTTTGTGCAACGATCTGCCAAGCCGTTTCTTTGTAATTTGAAGAAAACTTTCGTCCACATTTAAGCTCATCTACCGAACGATTTTAAAAAATCAAAAATGTTCGAAAGATATTAGTTGGGAATGATACTGATTAATTTTAGGTGAAAATCTACCGAGCCGTTTTCTTGTAATTAACTGTTGAAAAAAAGTGTTAAATTTTCGTCGACATTAAGCTCATCCTACCGAACCGATTTTAAAATATCAAAAACTGTTCGAAAGATATTAGTTGGGAATGATACTGATTAATTTTAGGTGAAAATCTACCGAGCCGTTTTCTTGTAATTAATGTTGAAAAAAAGTGTTAAATTTTCGTCGACATTTAAGCTCATCCTACCGAACCGATTTTAAAATATCAAAAAACTGCTCGAAAGATATTAGTTGGGAATGATACTGATTAATTTTAGGTGAAAATCTACCGAGCCGTTTCTGTAATTAACTGTTGAAAAAAAGTGTTAATTTTCGTCGACATTTAAGCTCATCCTACCAAACCGATTTTAAAATATCAAAAACTGTTCGAAAGATATTAGTTGGGAATGGTACTGATTAATTTTAGGTGAAAATCTACCGAGCCGTTTCTTGTAATTAACTGTTGAAAAAAAAATTTAAGCCGATTTTCATGGAAATTTTTTTGGCGATATACATCATGGTCTTATAGAACTTACTGTAATATTACGGCCTAACGACAAGTAGTTTAATTTTAAAAATTCGTCAAAGTTTGCTAAAATTATTATCGTTTTTCTTAAAAGTAGGATTAATGAAGTATATTATTTACATTTTTTTTTGATTAAGTCGATTATTCACACATTTCGGGAAGTTCATGTAACTTGCCTCAAGGCTAAATACCAAACCAACTAGTTTTTTACATTTATTGCCAAGCAGTCAATGAATGTATGTCAATTTTAATTACATGAAGTTCTCAAACACAGTTACATGATGAGTAAAGTTGCGAAAACAATATTTGTTTAGCCGTTGTTTAACATAATCCACTGTGTAAACGAATACTATAGAATTTATTAATCAGCAATTACTTTATTTCTCTAATGAAGGTTCATTTCTAATAAATATAAATGCTAATTACAATGACAAACCAATCATTTCATATTTGAAATATGACTTTAATTGCATTATTGTTTTTAAATATTATACATATTTTTAATGCTATTATAAAAATATAATTTATAATTTATCATTATATAAATGTGTATAATGGTTGACACTAATAAATGTGTGCATCACAGGTGTTACCATATTACTAATAAACATTATTCAAAATTGTTATAAGATGTATTTAATTTTACTTAAATACCATCTGTACAGTAGCAAATAAGTTTTACTTCAATCGCGTGTGAACCTTATGCGCACTATTTTTTTTGAAAATGTTTAGATTTTTTAAAAAAAAAATTCAGATAAAAAATAAATACACATGATATCTTACTACACTCCTCCCTTCTCCATGTGATTTTTTGTGTTTTTTTTTGTCAATGCATGCACCCTTACAGCCCCATTAGTTTCTGCTTATTAATATTTCATTGATCTGCATCCTGTTTCCTAATATGCAACCGTGCCATGTGGTTCTTCAAATTGCATTCCTGTATAAAACTTTTATTGCATATATCACATTTATAAGGGCGCTCTCCAGAATGAACAAGCATGTGTGTTTGCAGATCGCTCGGTCCTGTGAATGTTTTGTTGCAAATTTTGCATTCATGAGGGTGTAGTACTTCGCAGTGTTTCTTCAAGAAACGAACTTTTTTAAAATCCTTATTGCATATAACACATTTAAAAGGGCGCTCTCCTGTATGAGTGCGCTTGTGTGCATTCAAGTTGCCCACTTGTGCAAAACCCAGATTGCATATATCACATTTATAAGGGCGCTCTCCGGTATGAATGAGCATGTGGGTTTTTAGGTAGCTCGTTTTTTTTATTATTTTCTTGCATATTGTGCATTCACGGGAAAGTTCTATGTGAGTGGACATGTGGCTTTTTAGAGTGAGTAATTGTGTGAAGCCTTTAGTGCATATGTCACATTTGAAGGGGCGTTCTTCTGTATGAATACGCATGTGACTTCTTAGAGCACTTGGATGCACGAAAGTGTCTCCACATGAATTGCATGCATAGGAACGTTCTCCTGTATGTTTTAGCATGTGTTTTGCTAAATCACTTTTTTGACAGCATGCCTTATTGCATATTTCACATTTAAAAGGACATTCTTCAGAATGTATAATCATGTGCAACTTTAACCCTTTTGATAGTTTGAACGTCTTAAGACATATTTGGCATTTGAAAGGTCGTTCTGACTTATGAGTAATAATGTGTTTTTCCAAAAGTGATAATTGTTTAAATGTCTTAAGGCATATATCACATCTATGGGAGCCTTCTTTGCTAGCACTTGGCGTGTGATTGATCATATGTTCTGTTAAATGATACATTTAAAAGGGGGCACCTGTATTGTTGTTGACTCTTGTTTGGCTTCTTCCTCTATTGTTACATCGGAATTCATGAATCTTTCCAGGCAGGTTTCATCATCCTCTAAACACGATTCAGGCTTAACAATATCCTCAACTTCATCAAGCTCATCCTTAATTTCAACCTGAATCTCTTCTATTGAATATTCTGGTGGTTCTGTTTTAACTTTCTGATCATTCATAGGCATAATTGTTGCTTCCGACATTTTTATATATTTTCACTGTGTATATTTAACAAATGTTATCGGAATTAACAGTTACCTGTTATTTAATAAATTATTTATACAAATACCGTAAAATTAATTATGAATTTAACTAAATTTAACTTTAGTCGTCTGACATTAGAAGCAAAGAGTATGTTTTTAGGTTTTTAGAGAGACAAGACATTCTTCTAAAATTTAGAATCTAACTTCACAACAGTTCTCTATGCATCAACTGTCAACACCAAAAACGACCTTTTCAATTTTTTTAACTTCCCTAAAGAGAAGTTTATGTTTTCATAAAATAAGCCGATTCCCTAATTTTATGTTTTCTCGACGTTTCAAGCCATTCTGAATCGAATGAGACCATATTTAGAAAAAGTATGTGCGTGTGTGTGTATGTTATCAGATTTTTTGCGGTCAAGCGACCTTTTCTCAAAAACGGCTTGACCAATAGGGAACGGGCAAGCTCATAAAAATGTCAGTGAAAACGCCATGACTTCTCGGGGTGGCGAAAAAGTGCAAACAAGGATTCCAAACAAGATGGCGTTTGACAGGTTTTATTTCGTATTTTGACAGGTTTTATTCAAACTTATGTGCTTGTTAAAGATGGTTATAGCTTCTTATAATCGCAATTTTTATTTATTTCTAATAATAATGCGGCATATCTGAGTCACCAATCATGTGCGTATATTAAGTGAAGAAAGCGCATGAATAAGAAAGTGAATTTTGTTATAATTAACGTTAGAAGAAATAAATTGCTTCGTTGGATAGATTCATTGAGGTATGTACTCATAATTAAAATGTATTTGCTATTGACCACCATATTAAAACAAACATGTGTTGCTTAAAGGTATGATAAAATTTTCAGACAAGGCCATAAGATATTTTATGATTTGCATGTTGTGTTATCAGCTGAACAAAGTTTAGATCTTTCTATTAGGACTTTGTCGCAGAATGAATCTCGTACTTGATAGGATGTCAGGACTTACAGGATTTCTACACTGCAATTTGATTTGATTTAATTGTTTTGTTACCTGCATAAAAAGATATTACTTTTAAAAGTTTTAGGAAGCTATTGTATCAGTATATGCAAGGTTGAAGAATTTCTCCAAAATTTTATACCGAATTGCTAATATTGATAGAAGAGGGTCTCCTCCACAGATTGGTAATTATTGTGTGAATTTAATATTACATACCTGTTAAAATTTTATACTTTAAATTATATGCTCTCAATGTTTTTTCTTTCAGATTAATTTAGGTACATATAAGAAGTATTCATCATTGATTTCCAAAAGCTTTCAATTTATGTATTACATATAACATTTATGTACAGTTAATATTATTATACAAGCTAACAGTCATGATACATATATATTTAATCTAATATAAATTAACATTTCTTTCATTTACCATCCCCATCTTATCCAATAATGAAAGTTTGAAGGTTCACCAAAATAGGACATAAAAAAACAATATTTTCACCAGAAAATTGATAGTTATAGTCTTTGGTATATTACATAAAAGTTTTAAAATTTTCATTCTGTGTATGACTCATTCTACATGTATACGCACACTAGCTTCAAAGTGAGTTTAATTAATATCTCCTGGTGAAAGTAATCCGTTTTAAATTTAATTTTAAACAAATAGCATATGCACAAGTACTGCTATATTTATTAATTTGTCTAACTCAGTCCATATTGATGAAAATCCTGACTATAAAGTACAATTAAAAACTTTGTCTTTTTTACTCATGAATTTACCTTTGTCAGTTAATACAGCACATCCAGATTTTACTTTTTTTATTACGCCCGAGAGTACATTAATTTGGGTTGGAGTGATTCTGCCTAAGCCCACATTATTAACAAATGAAATAAAGCCATCTGGAGTGCAAATAAATAAGAACCTACTTTCAAATACCCTGGAAACTACCAACGAATGAATCTGAAAAGTAAAACCTAAAGCAATATAACTAATTTCTAACTTTCATAATTAGTGTTTTCTAAGAATCAAACTAACAAATGGATTTTTAATAATGTTTTTATGCATGTAAATATGATCATTTAAGCAAATATTGATTTAATTTACTAAAGCCTCTTCAAACTTTGAACTTTCAATATTTTTCTGATTGAATATCCTTCCTGAATGTAAATAGTATGCATATTGGTAGTAGCAAACAAAATTTATATTTTGAATTTCATTATTCTTACCTCTGTTATTGTAAAATCATAAAAAATAAATGATGAAAATATGTAAGAAATATGAATTATTAAATGTTTAACCTAAAAATGCACGTTTTACGTCAAAACAAATATTAGTTGACAGCAAATTCAACTCATAAATGTGTCATCCGCCATATTTGTTGGAATCCAAGTTGCACTTAAAATCCGCTAGAGGAGAGCTTGCCCGTTCCCTATTGCAAAAATTTAAAAGCCATTCGATGAATCTCGATGAGGACTATTATTTGTCAGTTTTGTGCGATGATCGGCCAAGCTGTTTCTTTATAAATAGCAGAAAAGTGAAAAATTTTTCAGCCCACAATTCTGAATCGATTTTGAAAATTCAAGCACCGTTCGAAAGATATTGGTTTGGAATCGTGCTGATTAGTTTGTGATATACAGTTTATATGTAAAATACGCCTGATGGTACAGCAATTAATTGACTTTTCATAGTTTTTACTACCAAGAAAGAAGAATTAGATAGTGTTGCTATAACAACCGTACAATTAGCCTCATAGAAAAAAAATACAAAAAAAGAGTGCAAAAAAGAGTTGTAAAATATGTCATTTAAGTAAAATAAATACATGTAACAATTTTGAATAATGTTACTTTTTAATATTGTAACACTCGTGATCCACACATTTTTTAATGTCTATTATTATACATATTTATATAATAAATTGTAAATTATATATTAATAATAGCATTAAAAATATGTATAGTATTTAAAAACAATAATGTAATTAAATAATGTCATACTTCAAATACGACATGATCGGTTTGTCATTGTAATTAGCATTTAGGACTTGAACCTTCACTAGACAAATGAAGTAATTGCTGAATAATAATAATTCTATAATATTCATTCACACAGCGGATTAATAACGCTTAAACAAATATTGTTTTCACAATTTCACTCATCATGTAATAATTGTGTTTGAAGAACTTCATGTAATTAAAATTAACATACATTCATTGACTGTTTGTTTTTTTTTTTCACTTTTTCGCTGGCGATACAGTCTCATTCTTTGAGTGGCTGTAATATCCATCTTGCCTAGAAAATTCATTTCTAAAAATATATAGTAACCACGAATAATACAAATTATTTCAATAAATTTCCGTTTCTTACATGGCACGGATTTTTCATTTGTTTTTTTATTTTCGCTATAATTATTTACTGAAGACGGGATAAATTATTCTACCAATTCAAAGATGTTTTATTAAATCAAGATTTTTACTAGGACCAGGGCTGGATAAAAATTTTTTTGGGCATTGCACTCATTACGGCACGAATCATTGGCACTCGACTCGGCCGTAACGCTCTTCCGTTGTATTTGCACAGTTTTACACCCTAGTCGCGCCTAAAGGAGTTTTACTAAGAATATTGAATAATTGAAAAACAAAAATAGTAATGTTTTGAATAAAACAAAAAAAAAATAGCATTTGTACTATGTATTTATATTATTAAACAATTACATACAAGTCACTGGTTAGGAGTAACAACCATAGTTGTAACTGAAATATATATTAAATAAATTGCATTTAATATCCTGTGTATCAATATAAGTTGTGTAATGGATAAGGATTATTAGGTCGGGCTGTTTCCAGACTGATTCAACAGTTTTGTTGACTTTTTAATTCCGGTTTGTTCTCTAGTATGTCTTCTTTCATGTCGCATTAATATAGGTTTTGTTTTGAACGTTTTATTGCATATAGGTCGTTCTTCACTATGCACTGATAAATGCGTTATTAAATTACCTGAATGTGAAAATGTTTTATTGCATATTTTGCACTCATATGGTCGTTCTCCAGTATGTACTGTTTTATGTTGCATTAATATAGGTTTTGTTCTGAATGTTTTATTACATATTTCACATGCATAAGGTCGTTCTTCAGTATGCACTGATAAATGCTCTCTTAAAATACTCGACCGTAAAAATCTTTTATTGCATATGTTGCACTCATGAGGCCTTTCTTCAGTGTGACTGATTTCATGTTGTTTTAAATTATTTTTTGTTTTGAATGTTTTATTGCATGTCTCACTTTCATAAGGTCGTTATATTTGAAATTGTTTTATTGCATATTTTGCACTCATTACAGCGTTCTCCAGTATGTACTTTTTTATGTTGCATTAATATCGGTTTTGTTCGGAATGTTTTATTACATATTTCACATGCGTGAGGTCGTTCTTCAGTATGCACTGATAAATGCTCTCTTAAAATACTTGGCCGTGAAAATCTTTTATTGCATATGTTGCACTCATGAGGCCTTTCTTCAGTGTGAATCATTTCATGTTGTTTTAAATTATTTTTTCTTTTAAATGTTTTATTGCATATTTTGCACTCATTACGGCGTTCTCCAGAATGGACGGCTTTATGTTGTTTTAACATTTTTTTCATTCTGAATGTTTTATTACATATTTCACATGCGTAAGGACGTTCACCTGTATGCACTGATAAATGCTGTCTTAAATTACTTGACTGTGAAAATCTTTTATTGCATATTTTGCACTCATAAGGCCGTTCTCCAGTATGGATCCTTTCATGTTTTTTTAAGTTACCTTTTTCTACAAATGTTTTACTGCATGATTTACATTTGTATTTCAACTTACTAGTTGTCTTATCTTTTCCTGAAACTTTGTCAAATGTTTTGTTTGTACTATCGACTATCGTACTTGATTCACTGATCTCTTCGTTACATAGGGAAGAATTTTCATCTAATACAGTTTTGTTTGTACTAGTCACGTCATATTGGTCATCAATCGTCTCTTGTTTTATTTCCTCGTCAATTGTAATCTCAGATTTTAGAAATTGCTGCAGACATATATCATCATTATCCGTATACAAATCTGATGTATTTTCATAATCATCATATTCCTGCTTCACTTGAAGATAATCATCGATCGGTTCCGTTTTAATTGTTTTGTTTGAATTTGTTTCTTCAGACATGTTTGGAGTTTGTAGGTTATAATAAACAAACTGGTGATAAGTTCTTAAAAATTGGGAAGTCTAAGTGTATAATAATATATGTGTCACAATATTTACTAATTCGTTTATTGTTTAATATGATATAATGCTAACACTGACCTTTTTACTAAATTTATCTTCGAATTTAACTTTAATAATTCCATAAACCACTTTGACATTTCTCCTCCATTTTGCTTTTATAAACAACAGATCAAGCTGAAGTTAAACACAAATCAGCTATGTGTTTTTCGGCGGCAAAATTTGAAATCCGAAATTATTATTAGCTCAAACTTTAAATTACAATCTAAAAGTCCATCATTAACAAATAAAAAAACTAATTGGGAATTATTTTCTAAATATATTGATGACAATTTATGCTGCAAAGTACCTCTAGAAAGTACAGATTATGTTGATAATGCAATAGGTATTCTCAATAAAAATATCACTGACGCGGCTCGCAAAACAACACCCACAAATGATATTGTTGAGCGATTTTTCTGTCCACTCGAAGCTAAAAGACTCATAGCCTGTAAGAGAAAACTGCGTAGAAGGTGGTAAAATACTCATTTTCCGGATGACAAAGCTAAACTGAATAAAGCTATAAAGGAAACTTAACCAATATTTGTTTGATTTAAAAAATAAACATATGGAGTCCTACTTAAGTGATTTGTCTGTTCATGACCATGACGGGTAGAAGTGGTGATTCGTTTTTGGCAAAGGCAGGCCCAGCCGTTTTGGAGATACCAAGATAAATGTGCAAAAAATTGCAGTTTTTGAGAGAACGAAATATCCGATTTAAATGATTCAAAAACCATTTTGCTTGTATTGACGGAACGATTATTTTTGGGAAAAACAAAAAAAATTGTACATTATTTTTTTAATTTTGGAGAACTATATTCTTTGAATATCAAAAATCATTCAAATTTTAATTTTAAGTTTATTTGAGATAGATCATTTTAACTTTGCTGTTTGGTTTATAAAATTCTTACTATTAGTAATATGAGAACAGATCCTTCATTCTAACTCCCCTTATTAAACTCTGTTTAATTATTTTTCATGTAAACTTTTATAAACGTCATCGTCCAATTCATAAGCTCTTAGATTTTGTCTATTAAATACAAATAATGGAAGTTATAGTATTCATAATATATTTGAAAATATTTAATATTATTTAATTTAACGAACGTGTTCATTCGTTTTCAATTATGTGTAATAAATCCACTCCGAATACTTTTAATCATAAATCTACATATATATAAAAATAAGTCGGGTTTTTCTTCCTGACGAAATAACTCCAGAACGCACGAACTGATTTCGACAATTTTGCATTCGTTGGAAAGGTCTCAGGCTCCGCAAGGTTTATAGCTAAGAAAATTAGGGGTGCATGACATCGTGATTTAATGCAAATTGCTGGAACTTCATGCACCGTAATTAAAAATTCGAGTAATGACATTAGTGAGAATTATCAGAATTATGCTTGGTTAAGTCAACGAGCAATTCTTGTCGCAAGGAATAATGATGTACACACACTGAATTTTACCATTCAATCAAAAATTGCTGGCGATTTGGTGACATACCAATGATTCCGACTGGTCTTCCGTTTGACTTCAAACGATTTTAATTTCCAGTTCGCCTTGCGTTCGCAGTACCAAGTCGCAAGGCCAATCGCTTAGTGTTTGCGGGATAAATTCCAAATAGATTATTTAGAAAATCATTGTTTTTCACATGGGCAGTTATATGTTGCCTGTTCATGAGTTGGGAAACCATCCGCTAATTTCATATGTATCAACGTCAGACCAAGAAACAAAAAATGTGGTTTACCAAAGAGCACTTCAATGAAACGGATAATTTGCGGACACGTATAACTCTTCGATTCAGTATTTACACTTGATTCACTTTCATTTACTTAGAGAAGTTCAACTAAAAAACACATCATTTTTGTAATCGAAATAAATTCATTACTGTTGTGTAATAAAATAAAAATTTTCCTTTTCAAATATAAAACAAACAAAAAATTCTTCATCTTTCTCACGAAACCATCTGGTGGCGAAACGGAGTTCGCCGGGTTTGCTAGTTAATTTATATTTTATTGATTAAGTCGATTATTTACATATATAGATATAAAATTAATATAAATATAATTAATATAAATATAAAATTAAATGGAAATAAACTAACAATTAACATCGATAAAATAAAATACATATATTTCAAACATAGAAAAAATACGAGAACACTAATCTAAATATTAAAGTAAATAATAGAGAAATAGAGGAAGTGGAAAGCATAAAATACTCAGGACTGATAATAAATGAAAAACTGACATGGACAGAACATATAAACAAAATAAAAAGAAAGATAGGAACATTAACAGTGGCTTTAAAAAGGATCCACTCTCTCGGCAAAAAAATAAGATACTAATTCTTAAAACGCAAATGATACCTATAATTTTATATGGAATAACAACATGGAACCAAACAACTAAATCTAACCTAAATGACATACAGAGAATAATGAATAAAGCCACAAAAATAGCATATAATTTTCCACATCTAACACCCACCAAATACTTACAGACAGAAACAAATAATGATTCACTAAATAACATAATTAAAATAGAGACATTCCTTTCATGTCAAAAATCTATGGATTATTATATTATGAAGCACCAAATTCAAAATTACATTTAATTTAAAGATCACATAAATCTGTTATAAAAATATAAATCAATTTGGTCTTTTGGTTTACAAAATAAATATAAAACCTATTGTTGATACAAAAAATTACAATAAATAAAATTATTATTATTATTAACTTCCTGTAGGACAGTTATAGTAATGGGCCAAAAATCAAAAATAAATTTTTTTGCATATCTTCACGTTTTGAAGGTTTTTGAACATTTTGGCATTCGTCCAACGTTTTCGAGCGCACGGTTCAACTGAATTGAATGGTTCAAAAAACATTCGATTCCTATTGATAGGGAGATGCACTGATTAGTTTTTGGCAAAGGCAAGTCCAGCAATTACGGAGATAAAGAGCAAAGAGTGCAGAAAATACAAATCGAGTTTTCAAGAGAACAGAGCATCCGATTTGAATGATAGAAAAAACATTCAATTTGCAATGATTGGGAGAAGAGGTGATTAGTTTTTGGCAAAGGCAGGTTCAGCCATTTCGAAAATACAGAACTAAATATGCAAAAAATGGCAGTTTTGAGAGAACTAAGCGTCCGATTTGAATGATTCAAAGAATTTTCTGCTTGTTTTAACAAAAAAAATTGATTTTGGAAAAAAACATTATTTCAAAATTTAAAAAAATTTTTTTTTTTTTGTATATCGAAATTATTTCATTTTAATTTGGATTTTGACTAAAGTTTTAATACACTTTAAACAAATAATTTCAGTTAATATAATTCTTATAAATATTAGACAAAGTTACAATATTTTTTTAAAATCTATTTAAACACATTTAATATTCCTCGAGCATTTCATTACGGTACAGGAAGTTGCAGCAATTTGCCTTAAGGCACGATGCCATACACCACTAGTTTCTATCAGCAGTCATGTTTCAGTTCCTGATTATATAAATCCATTATTAAATACTTATAATTATTCTCTGGTGTGTACAAGTATGTGCCTTTCCAAATGATTCGATAGTCTAAATGCATTGTTGCATATTTTGTAACATCACTAATGTGAATGAACATATGCTTATATAAATGAGTTAATTGTCTGAATATCTTATTGCATATTTTACATTTGTGAGGCCGTTCCCCACAGTGAATTAACATATGTCCTGTCAAGCTATATGAATATATGAATGACTTCTTGCATATCTTACATTTGTGTAGATGGTCACCAATGTGAATTTGCATGATTATTCAAGACACTTGGATCTGTAAATGTCTTATCACATATTTTGCCTAGTGTGAATGATCATATGTCTATTCAAGCTACTCGATTGTGTAAAAGTCTTATCACATATTGTACATTTATTAGGGCGTTCCCCAGTGTGAGTGAGCATATGTCTATTCAAGCTACTCAAGTGTGTAAAAGTCTTATCACATATTGTACATTTGTTGGAACGTTCCTCAGCGTGAATGAGCATATGTCTTTTCAAGCTACTCGATTGTGTAAAAGTCTTATCACATATTGTACATTTATTAGGGCGTTCCCCAGTGTGAGTGAGCATATGTCTATTGAACTTACTCGAGTGTGTAAAAGTCTTATCACATATTGTACATTTGTTAGAACGTTCCTCAGCGTGAATGAGCATATGTCTTTTCAAGCCGCTCAATTGTGCAAAAGCCTTATAACATATTGTACATTTATGAAGAAGTTCCCCAGTGTGAATGAGCATATGTCGTTTCAAGACACTCGATTGTGTAAATGCCTTATCACATATTGTACATTTATTAGGGCGTTCCCCTGTGTGAATGAGCATATGTTGATTCAAATGATATGAATGTATGAACTTCTTACCACATATTCTACAAATATGAGCTCGTTCACCAGTGTGAGTGAGCATATGTCTATTCAAGCTACTCGAGTGTGTAAAAGTTTTATCACATATTGTACATTTGTTAGGACGTTCCTCAGTGTGAATGAGCATATGTCTATTCAAGTCACTCAATTCTGCAAATGCCTTATAACATATTGTACATTTATGAAGAAGTTCCCCAGTGTGAATGAGCATATGTTGTTTCAAATGACTCAATTGAAAAAATGTCTTATCACATACTTCACATTCATTAGGACGTTCCCCAGTGTGAGTTAGCATATGTCGATTCAAATGACTCGATTGTGAGAATGTCTTATCACATATTGTACATTTATTAGAGCGTTCACCAGTGTGAACAAGCATATGTCTACTCAAACTATCCAATCGTAGGAATGTTTTATCACATATTGTACATTTATTAGAGCGTTCCCCTGTATGAATGAGCATATGTTGATTCAAATTGCATGAATATATAAACTTCTTACCACATATTCTACAAATATGAGCTCGTTCACCAGTGTGACTCAGCATATGTCTATTCAAATTATCCAAATGTTTGAATGTCTTATCACATATTTCACATTTATTAGGGCGTTCCCCAGTATGAATGAGCATATGACGATTCAAATGACTCGAGCTCATAAATGGTTTATCACATTGTTGACATTTATACGGTCTATTGGCAGTATCAGCATGAACATTTTGTTTTTGATTACAAGATTCATTCAAGTGTAAAGTTTGTTCTGTGGCATGAGCGCATATGTGTTGATCTAAATGATATTTTGTAGTAAATGCTTTATCACACTGGGTACATTTGAAATGTTTTTCACCTGTATGAGATTTTAGATGCACTTCTAATGCACTTGCTTCTGGAAAAGTCTTTGAACAAAATACACATTCATGTTCATGCACTACCATATGCTGTTTTGAATTGTACATCCCTGTAAATTCCTGTTGGACATCTTCTATTTTTACTATGGAATCTGTAAACCTCTTCTGACATGTTTCTACATCCTCTGAACAGGATTCAGGGTCTTCTTCAATTTCCTCTTTGATCTCTTCGATTGAATATTCTTGTGGTTCAATTTTAATTATCGTATCATCAGCTGCCTCTGACATTTTGAGATATTTGTGCAATGTGTATGTTCTGTAAGTATTGATAAAAATAGTTGATTGCTATTTAATGAGCTATTGCTGAATATGATAATTTAACTAGATATTGACAGTTCGAGAATGGAGTGTTTTAGAAAGGCAATGCATTTATCCAGTTGTAATATTTCTCAGGAGTGTGTGTATAAATCAATCTCTAGGCTTTCTCAATGGTTGGGTTTATTTCTAAAGATAGTTTTATTTTTAAATCTAATCTTACATTAAATTAACTGTAGTCAGTTTTAGAAAATCTATTTAACAGATGTGAAATTATTCATTCCGAACTTTTGGCTTATTGCAAAGCTGAAATATAGAAAGGTACAACAGAGCTTTAATTATCCATTGCCTACCTATATTTAAAATTAAATATTTATAGTTATTTCTGTACGAAATAAATATAATAAAAAATTAATCATGAGAAATAACCTCAAAGTATTTTACACTACCTTTATGTTTATCAATCAAACTCACAAACACTGCCTTTTAATACACACTAATAATTATACTTATGTATTTATATAATGTATTTATTATAATATTTAATCAATAATTATGTTGAATAATTAAATAAATAAAAAAATTAAATGTTTCATCAGTCCATTAAATAGTTTGACAGTTTGACAGTTGAATGAACTTCGGTAAACAAACTGATTATGGCGGCGCTCCAATGTCACTGTCGCCAACATAAGAATATTTGCGAGATATTCAAAATTAAATATAACAGAATTAAAACAAGTGCAACAATAGACATCAATCAAGATATACATGAACACTATAGTGTTCTATATCTATTATTAGATATTATATTAATGAAATAGTCAAATAAAAGGTATGTATATATAAAATATGAAAACTGTTTTTAAAATCTCTCATACCAGGCATCTCTGTTGGACTGAGATTTGAAAATAATGTGTATAGACAAATAAATAAATTAATATATATATATATATATATATATATATATTGAAATGAATAAAACAGCCAATGCGTCGAATGTAAACAATTTAATTTATTTTTTATACGTTTCGAGACTAGATGTGTCTCATCATTCAGCTAAAAGAAATTTACAATATAAAGAAAAGGTTTCAAAAAAATGAATTTATACAATGGAAAAATTAATTGAAAAAACAACAAATTATACACACCAGATCAGGAAAAACCCACTTTACTAAAACATTTTACAACACCACAATCACATGACACTACTGTAGGAAAACAAAAATAATTTACGAAAAGACCGAAAAAGGTAGATGTAAAAATGTATAAAATACATAATTATTTGTTTTCAAAGCATAGCAACACGAATGGACTAAGAATGCGTCGAGAGACGTGTAGACGGCTATGCGACCAACACGCGTGCATGTGGGAAGGGATATCAGGGGTGTAGTATGGCGTCAGATTTACAGAAATTAATTATATTTTGATAACTTTCTGAGAGTAAGCTAGAAGAACTGCGTTTGTTAACACAATTAGAATGTAAAAAGATGAAACATGATTCGGAAAATCTTCTAAGGTCTACATTTTTTTCTTTATATAAAATTATAGGATGGTCAGTATTAAACGAATGTTTGAAATTAATAATGTGCTCAGAAAACATTGTTTTAAATTGTCTAGGGTTTTTTGAATTATAAATATGTTGATTCATTCTCTTGCTAATGTATTGGGAACTTTCACCGATATAACAACTGTCACAATCTAAACAATTAATTTTATAAACGGCATCGGTGATTCGGTCAGACGGAGATTTTGATTTTAAGGTAGAAAACAGGGAACTGAGTGTGTTATCAAAAGTGAAAACTAAAAGAAAACCTTCAACAGAAAAAAGTTTTTTTAAAAAATAAGAAAAACTACCCAAATAAGGTAAACAAATAATGCCTTTATATTTGCTAAATAAAGAAGAAGAATTTGAATCGGCAGTAAAATATTTTTGAACAACGGAAGTGACATTATTATTATCAATATTGGTAACGTTTAAAAAATTTAACCTATTTTTAATTATATTATTGATTAAATGTAAAGGATAAGAGTTATTTGTGAGAATGGAGCGGACTAAATCCAAATTTTTATTCCAAAAAGTTTTATTGCTTAAAAGAATAGCTCTATCAATGAGAGAAATGATGATGGAAATTTTTACAGAACGAGAATGAAACGATAAGTAATTAATGTATCTACCGGAAGAAGTTGGTTTTTGAAACCAATCAGTTAAAATAAAATTGTTTTGGTTTCTAATGAGTTTAATGTCTAAAAAACTAATGGAATTGTCATCTTCAAACTCACAAGTAAACTTTAAATGATTGTTAAAAGAATTAAAGGAATCAAGAGTGGAGGAAATGGAATTATTTTCTAAACACAAGAGAACGTCATCAACATATCTAAAGTAAAAGAAAGGTTGAACAGAAAGTTTGGGTAGAACAAAATTTTCAAGTAACTGTAAAGTTAAATCTGCCAAAGGAGGACTGATGCTAGAACCCATAGGCATACCAAAAATCTGAGCAAAAAATTTATTGTCAAAACAAAAATATGTATTATTGAATATGAAATTTAAAATGTATTTAAACCAAAATAAATTGATAGTTGTATGTGGTCTGATGTCATTCCAACGATCCGAAATGGCATCCAACGCAAGATCCCATGGAACGTTAGTAAACAACGAAACGACATCAAAGCTTACCAAAGAAAAGTTAGACGGTATGCTTAAGTTGTTGAGATATTTTGCCAAAATAAAAGAGTTTGAGACATTAGTTTTTGATAAAATGGTGACCTTAGAGAGAATAGTACTTAAATATTTAGTTAAATTACTTAACGGTGAGTTTATGTCAGCAACTATAGGTCTTAACGGTAAATCTGCTTTGTGGATTTTTGGAAGGCAATATAATTTAGGGAAGTCTGGATGAAAAACCTTAAGGGAAAAACCTAAAGATTTGGATATTTGTTTTTTTTGGATTAAATTTGTGATAAGTTTATGAGTTTTTCTGTTTATGTAATCGGTAGGGTCATTAGTTAAAGGTTTGTATGTAAGTGTGTCATTTAAAAGCGCTTCGGTTTTTGAGAGATAATCAGACTTATTCATAATCACAGTAAGGTTTCCCTTATCAGCTCTGGTAACTAAAATGTCAGGGTTTTCTCTCAAGAACTTTTTGCATAATTTCAAATCTCTGGCAACTTCTAACTGTAAAGGATTGGAATTGGTATTTAAATTTTTTTTAATAAAAGATAAAAAATTATTGCAACAAATTAATCTTAATCTTGATTCCTTTTCTGGATCTTTTAATTTACAAATACCCAACTCTAGATTGCTAAGGATCTTTATGAAATTGAAATGTTTTTTGGAAGGGGGGAGAATATATATATATATATATATATATATATATATATATATATGTATATCGGAAAATTCATGTAACTTGCCTCAAGGCAAAATACCAATACCAACTAGTTTCTTTCATAAACATTTAATATATTCTTTTATAAACTCAATATTATTTTTTATATATTAAAATGACTAATCATAACAAAATAAATAAAAATCAAATCAAAAATATTGTATTATATTTTTCGATAAGAAGCCGATAATAGCTCTTTATTAAATTCCCGTAGGGCAAGTTATAGTAATCGCAAAAAAATCGAAAATAAAAATTTTATATATCTTTACGTTTCAAAACCTTCTGAACATTTTGGCATACCTTAGAAAAAATGAATGTATGTGTGTGTGTATGCGGATACAAATTTTCGTCGACGATTTCATACATTTCATACCGATCAACCGATTTGAATAATTCGAAAAACCATTCGATTCGCATCGTTAAGGAGACGTGCTGATTAGTTTTTGGCAAAGGCAGTTCTAGCCGTTCCAAAGATACGGGTCAAAAAATGCCAAAAACGGTAAATCAGTTTTTAAGAGAACAGAGAATTCAAAAAACATTTTACTTGTATTGACAAGATAAAAAAACTGATTAAATTTTTGGGAAGGCAGGTCTAGCGGTTATGGACTCTCAATAAAAATAATTTTAAACTAGTTGGTTTGGTATTTAGCCTTGAGGCAAGTTACATGAACTTCCCGAAATGTGTCGGCTAAATCGACTTAATCAAAAAAAAATGTGTAAATAATATACTTCATTAATCCTACTTTAAAAAAAAACGATAATAATTTTAGCAAACTTTGACGAATTTTTAAAATTAAACTACTTGTCGTTAGGCCGTAATATTACAGTAAGTTCTATAAGACCATGATGTATATCGCCAAAAACATTTCCATGAAAATCGGCTTAAATTTTTTTTTCAACAGTTAATTACAAGAAAACGGCTCGGTAGATTTTCATCTAAAATTAATCAGTACCATTCCCAACTAATATCTTTCGAACAGTTTTTGATTTTTTAAAATCGTTCGGTAGGATGAGCTTAAATGTGGACAAAAAGTTTTTTACAAATTACAAAGAAACGGCTTGGCAGATAGTTGCACAAAACTGACAAACGATAGTCCTCACCGAAATACATCAAATGGCTTTTAAATTTCTAAAATCGGTTCAGGCGTTTTTGAGAAAACGTCGATCAAAAGTCTAATTTTGACAAATGCCAAAAAGACCATACTGATTTTTGCAAAATTTGACGAATTTTTAAAGCTGAACCAGTTGTCGTAGGGCCGTAATATTTTAGTATGATCTAGAAGACTATGGTATCTATCGTCAAAAAAATAATCATAAAAATCGTCGAATTTTTTTTTTTTTAAACTTTATTACAAGAAAACGGCCCGGCCGATCTCTACCAAAAACTAATCACCACGATTCCCAACCAATATCTTTCGAACGGTTTTTGAATTTTCAAAATCGATTCAGAATTGCGGGCTAAAACGTAGACGAAAATTTTTTCACTTTTCTGCCATTTATGAAGAAACGGCTTGGCCGATCGTCGCACAAAACTGACAAACAATAGTCCTCGTCGAGATACATCGAATGGCTTTTAAATTTTTGAAATCGACCCAGCCGTTTTCGAGAAAACGTCGATTTACGGCAAAAAATCTGTTCACATACACACACACACACACACACACACACACACATACTTTTTCCAAATTTGGTCTCATTCGATTCAGAATGGCTTGAAACGTCGAGAAAACATAAAATTAGCGAATCGGGTTTTTTGATGAAAACATAAACTTCTCCTTCGGGAACTTAAAAATGCCGTTTGGCGGTCCAAAATGTTTATTGAACTTATGCACATCAAATTATCAGATATTTTATAGAGATTTTCATTATGTGTACACATTTTGTGTAATTTTTCTCGGGTTCCGTACCAAGATTTTTAATTACGATACGTCAAGTTCCAGCAATTGGCCTAAAGGCACGATGCTATGCAACCATAGACCTTATACAATACAAATTGTATTGTATTGAAATTGTATAAGGTCTATGTATGCAACCCACTAGTTTAGAAATTCTTAGATTTATAATAATGAATAGATAGATACAATTAACATAAACATATAACAATAAAGTATCCTTTGAAAATTCAGAAAAGAGCAATTCACGTGTTCATTTATAATCTCAAAAACGATAACGTTTGAATCATTATATATGTACAATAACGAAAAATTTCTTCATATTATATTATGTAAACTAAACAACTAACCGAATAGTAACCGAATATTCGGTGCAAGCCTAATGTAAAGTTTACGTTTTAAGGATTTTTTGAATACATAGACAGAAAATATTTATATAAATTTATTCATAATTCTATATATTTGTACAGTAGTAATAAAATTGACAATAAGTAATTCATAGATGTTTCACACTATTTCACACATGAAGTTAGTATCTGCTAATTATTATTTCGTTGATTTTCATCATGTACCCCACTATGACCATTCAACTTGTGTCTCCTCAAAGTGCTCCTTAGTGCAAAATCTTTATTGCATATTTCACATTCAAAAGGACGCTCTTTGGTATGAGTGATCATGTGTGATTTCAGATTAGATTTTTGTGAAAATGTCTGATTGCATATAACCACATTTGAAAGGACGTTCTCCTGTATGAATACGCATGTGCGTTGCCAAGTGACCCGATTGTGAGAATGTTTTACTACATATTTCACATTTCAAACAATGTTCTTTGGTATGAGTAATCATGTGTTGTTTCAGACTATATTTTCGTGTGAATGGCTGATTGCATATATCACATTTGAAAGGACGCTCTTTTGAATGAGTCATCATGTGTGATTTCAGATAAGATTTTCGTGAAAATACCTTATTGCATATATCACATTTGAAAGGACGCTCTTTGGAATGAGTGATCATGTGCGTTTTCAGAATATATGCTAGAGAGAATGCTTTATCACATATTTCACATTTGAAAGCGAGCTGTCCTGTATGAACAGCTATGTGATTTTTCAAACCTTTTTTTTGATTGAATGTCTGAAGGCATATTTGACATTTGAAAGGGCGCTCTGTGCTATGTAGAACCATGTGCGCTGCCAAAAATGAAATTTGTTTAAATGACTCATGACATACATCACACTTATGGATGCCTTCTTCGTTACAACTGGGTTTGTGATCGGCCAGGTGATCTTTTAAATAATTAGTTTCTGGAAATGAGACATTACCAATGTCACATTTATAAGAAGGTGTCTCAATTACCTCCTGCTTGACTTCTTCCTCTATAGTCACTTCGGAATTCATAAATCTTTCCAGACACGTTTTATCATCCTCAAAATAGGATTCAGACTTAACAATACCATCTACATAATTAAATTCATCATCAGTTTCACGTTTAACGTCTTCCATTGAATATTCTGGTGGTTCAAGTTTAATAGTCTGATCATTCACAGACTTAATCGTTGCTTCCGACATTTTTATATATCTTCACTACGTATATTTAACAAATATTATTGGATTCAACAATTACATACCAATTAATAATTCATTGTTAATCAATAATGTTCTTGAATGTGATAATAACGACTTTAACTGAATTTACATTTGTTGAACACACGAAGCTAATTTCTGATAATTTTGTCATACCAACATACGAAGCGCAACCGAGAATAAAAAAAGTGTGACAACATTGAAAGACAAAAAACCTATGTGCGTCAAACAAAAAAACAAAACTGTCAAACGTCAAAATAGTACACCCATTGTTATATTGTCTCTCACCTCTCACATTTAGACACCTTTTAGACAGTTAAATAGAAATCCCAATTGTAAGTATATAATTATTTACGAAAGCGGTTTTTTTACATTTACATGATCATACATTGTCTCTTCACAACCAATATTATTTCAGGGAACCAAACATATAGTTATTCAAAACCTAGTACAGTTTTGTTATAAATTATTAGGAAATTTTTAATTAGGGCTTCGCAGAGTGTTTTAGTATAGTTATTTTATTTACCCAGGTAAATGTTATTCAGGTTGTTTTTGTTTGCTTAGTGTGTTTTAATTCTATTGTAGGGTTCACTGAATTAAGATTAGGACTTCAGCCTGAACATCAAAATAGCTACAAGAGTCTTGTAGCATGTAACATCTGATTATTAGAACTTAATTCATATGTATATATGTATGTATGTATATATATACATATATATATATATATATATATATATATATATATATATATATGTATATATATATATATATTAAGCTAGCTTTACTCTAGCATTAATTAATTAATAAAACACCCTTTACTTCATACAAATACATTTAATAATCCACCAAATTAACACAACGCCGAACTGTACAACACTCAAGTTACCGCCAGACCTCGACTCGCACACAGATACATACTTCTGTTCCGTAGGGGATCAGACACTCTACATATGACACACCATAGAGCACATACACGTCAGGATAGACACTCTTGGCCGTTATATTCAAATGACAGACATACAATATTATAGTTCGGCCAATCCTGACCTCACAGGCGTCCCCGACTGATGAGATCTAATACAACAGTAATCTAAATCTAATATTACAACACAAATCATAAAACCATTACAACATAAATCATAAACCATTACAACATAAATCATATTTCATTCACTTATTGTCTCTACCAACTTTGTCGCCATCACTTATTGTCCTTATACGCCTATTATTTTTATACACTTATTTAATTTTAGTTCTAGCTTATTTCTGCGAATCATCTCTAACACCCTACGCAACACTTCAATATTCTCCTCAATTGTTTCTGTGGCCATTAGTAAATCGTTCATGTACACTATAACTTCACAGTTCATCATAAAACAACGAAAAATGTCACTTACATATCTCATAGATACATTCGGGCTATTACAATACCCAAATGGCATACGGTTGTATTCATATTCTCCCTGTGCACACCCCAAGCTAGTGTATTTTCTACTAGTCTCAGCCACCACCACATGAAAGAAAGCGTTCTCCAGATCTAGCTTCGTAAAATACCTCTTAGACTTCGGTGAGTCCAAGCAATCATCTATTCTTGGACTGGAGTAAGGATCGCGCACCACCCGTTTTCCAGTCTCCAAATATTCCTCTCTGACCAGATCTCCTACTGTCGCGACCACTCCATAGCCATGCATTTCAAATGCAGTCTCTGGCTCTTCCCGTTTTTCAGTCTCCAAATCTTCTGCTGTCGCTATCGCTCCATAGCCAAGCATTTCGAATGCAGTCTCTGTTTCTTCCGGCTTTTCACTCTCCAAATATTCCTTTTCCACCAGATCTCCTGCTGTCGCTATCACTCAATAGTCATGCATTTCGAATGCAGTCTCTGGTTCCTCCGGTTTTTCACTCTCCAGGTCTTCTACTGTCGCTACCACTTCGTAGTCATTTTCATCTGATATATTTATATTTGCTCCGTCTGTGGTAATCTCACCATCAATCGCCAATATTTCGTTAACTCGAAATGTAGTGCTGTCAGGCGCCACCTGCGCCGTACTCCGGACATGTTTGCAGAATCTCTGCTGATGCTCCTTTGAGCCACAGTCGTAGCATGCCACTCCATCGTTCTTAGGTTTGATACACCTGGATGCCATATGTCCCACTCCACCACAATTAAAACACCTCACCGTAGGATATGTGCCTTGTGGTTCCATTCTAGGAAACACTGTTGGCTGTACCCTCGTAGGCGGCATCATATTGCATCCGCGTTCCTCCGCTGTCAACTCGTTCATTACACATAACAGAGTTGCTAAATCCTTAAATTGGCTCATTTTGGCTTGAGCCTGGAGTGGCGGGTTGTCGAAGCCGTCTATCATATAAGCCATATCGAACTCCATAAAACCCAACCTATTCCCTAGCGCCATCTTTTCCTGAAAGTATGCGCTAAACGGTTCCTGTTTTCGTCACCTCCGAGACTCAAACCGCTTCATTCTAGTCATCCTGTCTTCTCCATTTTTGAAAAACGCTGTTAGCACCCTCTTCAGCTCGTCGTATGAATATGTCGCATACTCTGCCTTGCTGTCATATAATCGCCTCGCCCGCCCCGACAGCTTCGATGTTATCAGCACCGCCATCTTTTTCTTAGGCACCTCGTATGCATCCCGGACGGCCTCAACCTGTTCAAACCACGCCTCGATGCATTGCTCAGACGACCCGTCGAATATCGGTATCGTCGCCAACCACTCGCTGCTCGAGATGCTATCGTTTTTATTACTGGTTGTCGCCCTAATAAGATTAATCAAGTCCGTCAACGATAGCACTCTTAAGGCTTCGGGCACCAAGCTCTCAGCATCACCACCAGTAGCCATCTCACCAAATCTTATTTTATTTCCGCAATCTCCAGTTTTTAATTACACACATCGCAGCTCCGCGACTCGCCAACGTCAATATTACGCCCTGCTTTTGATATTTTCTCTCCACTCTGTTCTTATTTTGGTTAACCACGTGTTAACCTCACTTTAGCACAACAACACAAAACACACAAACTTACAAAATAACACCTGCACTTGTACGATAGCAAAGCACAGCTTGCTTTCTATCGCACCCCGTAATTATAATCCGCCTGATTAATAACACGGGCACTCCAAAAAAAGATTACTGAAATCGCCTATCTCAATAATCCATACCAATAATGTTCTCTAATAAAATTCTCCACGTTTTGATCCAATCCCACTTCTGAGCTTTAAGCTAGCTTTACTCTAGCATTAATTAATTAATAAAACACCTTTTACTTCATACAGATACATTTAATAATCTACCAAAATTAACACAACGCCGAACTGTTCAACACTGCAGTTACCGACACGGTTCCTCATGCAGTCACTGGCGGCCATTTTTTGACACGACAATATACTTCATGAAGAGGTGACAAACAAAGCAGGCGTACCAATATAAAAGTGTAAATAACCCTAGTACAGAATGACAGTTCATAGACGTCAATGTGACACTTACAATTTAATTTCAGCTCTCATATAATAATGAAAATCAATATATTATATATATTTAATTTTTCTCTACGATCATAATATTACGTAGAGGATTTAGTACTGTCATAGTATATAGCAATAATCATATTAAGTCTGAAAGTGGTAAAATGTAGTACTTATATAAGAAGTTTTATTCAGTAAGTTAAATAAACGTACAACTGTTTTCTCTGAAAAAGTTCTTGTCATATAAAAATGTGAATAATAATCTGTCGAAATAGTTGTGACGTGCATTTATATAGCTGAAATTTGTTAAATTCTCAATCAATAAGGTGGAGTTCTGTAAGTGCCACAAAGTTTTGTTCAGGCATTTGAAATTATTTCCAACCTTTTTATAAAATTAACAGTATGTATGGTATTGAAAAATTGAACCTCATTTTGGTCAACAAATAAAAGATTAATGCGTTAACATAAGCTTTAGCATTGTTTTTTTTTATCAAAAATATACTGTTTTTTATAAAAGAAGAAAAACTATTCATTTATAATAATAAAAATTTATTGAAATTATAGAACATATTAATATACATATATTTACAATTTAAAACCTATTTCCATAATATTGTTAAAGCATGGTATAATAAATATATTTATGCAAATAAAGCAAATACCAATCACATTTAATTAACATAATTAAATTATTTGTCGTTAGACAGAAAAATGCACACATAAGCAGTGTGTCATGATACTGGCAAAGCTATATAATGTATAGATATTTACAATTTGAAACACATTTCCATAACTTGAATGAATGGCTTAAATGAATTATATGCAAATAAAGCAAACATCAATAATAGTTAGTTATAAAGATAATTAAATTATTTACAGCATTAAATGCAAAGAATAACACATGTGAACACATAAGTAGCGAGTTATGTTATAGATAAAGTCATTTAGGTGAATAAGAATCACAACACCATAAATAATATATCATTACAAGCTATATCACACAAGAAAATCTCAGAATATTACTCCATTTTAGTCAGAATCATGATATAGTTAAAATTTAATCGGCACATTCATTATTAGCAAAATAATTAATAGTGAAATACATTATATTAAAGCATATTTACTTCTTTTGAATATATAGTGATGCCAAAGTAGAATATTTATTTTCTCAACACAATGTTGTTTCAGGATAATTATCCATTTATAATCAAATATAGTTATTTGTTCTTTCATTGTTAGGATCTTTTAGTTTATCTCACTTTGATCGAAAACTCAGACCACTCAAAATTGGAGCAATAGATGGATAAAACATAACACTTCAAAGGTTTTTTTTTAAATATGCAGTACATGGTAGTTGATTGATGAAGCTTAATACTTTTTTAATATCTGCCTATGTGTTTCCATTCTTATTATATGCAATATACAATTATACACTTGTAATTGATATTTCTTTTGTTATTTGAAATTACTCTATTCTATAATTTGATTTGCCTTGATTTATAATTT